AAAAATAAGACTGAAATAAATAACAACTGAAACAACTAAATGACCAATAACTAACCCTAGGCAGACTAGAACACCTTCTGCCCTATGAACACAGTGGGACCGTAGCTGTGGGGCCCACATCAGTGTTCTCTACAGACTATATAAAAAGGGTTAGAGGGAGAGGGGTGAACCATCCCATACTCTCCACTCTCTTGTTCGCTTTCTCTTCCCCCTTTGCATTCCAAAACCCTAGTTCGGACCAACATAGCGAGGGCTGATTCTCATCAGTCCTCTGCTGTGTTTTTGGAGAAAAACATCAGAAAACTTTAGGCTCACACAGCTGCATCCATCCAAGGAGTTTGAAATTCGGTTTTGCAGAAAATAGCATTGCTGAGTTAGAGGCCAATTTGGGTCTAATATTGGGTGTGAATCAACACTTTGGGAGCTGTGTACTGTGGACTCCGTATCATGTATGATCTATTCGAAAATCTGGTTTCAAATATGGTCCGGTTTAGTGCAAGATTGATCCAAAAGTTCAGATTTCAAAATATCGAGAAACCGATTCTTAGGTTGGGCTGAGAGATTTTTTCAAATTCGACTGACAACAGTAATAAGTTCAGCCATGTTTAATCAAATTCTCAGTCCTTCCAACAACTATAGAGTAGAGCTCTTGTTTAGTTTTGCATTAAAGGATAGGGTGATAAAACATTAGGAGCATAGCCCCTATTTTGTGTCAGAAAAAGATGGAAAAAATGGGAGCTTTTTTCACAAATAAAAGGGAAAAACAGAATAGGACAGAGACCCTGCTTGCCAGAAAAAAAAGGGTAAAACACAAAGGAAAATGCAATGGGTGATCATAGTGATAGGATCAGCCCCTTTGTTGGACAAAGTGAATATCAGGGTTTACATTCTCTTTGATGGAAACCTAAAATGTCGGCAGTGGATTGCAACTATATTTGAAATCTGATTTTGCAAAATGTATTTATATGTTATACTACTATTTTATGAAAAATGTTTTAATCCCAATAGAGAGTGTGACACTACACCTTGCAGCCAGGGGAGAGGTCCTTCCCTGTCAGGCAATGTTGTGATCATTATGTGCCAAGAGGTTAAGTGTAAGAGACCATTATAGGGATGATTACCTGATGGGCTTTGTCTTTGGGTCTTAATAGGGTGGGTAAATCCAAGGATCATTTAGGCGTAAATGTTTGGCCCAAACTGAACCAATGCTTATTGTGGCAAGGGTTCACTGTCTTGAGCAGTGAATTCCGCCTAGTCTCCTTCAGGGTAGGGCCAAACCCTTATGGACTTGTATGAGACCTTTGTGGGGTCCTACGCCATACAATATCAAGCCCAAAGTGGCCATGCAACACTTAAGTTGTCATATGATTTGGGTTAAAACTGGGCATGGTTCTGGGTATGGAGCACCTATCCTCTTAAGAGGATAATACTTATCTATTAAAAGAGTTTAGATCCAAACCAGATTTGGAAAATCTTCTAATTAGATTAGGAGAGTGCTCCATATAAAGGGGTTAAGAGGAAGAGGGAAAATAGAACTTGTTCTCTTCACTCTCTTGCTCTCTCCTCTTCTCTCTTCTTTCCTAGAAACCCTATCACAACCTAGCCATTGCAAGAACTGATTTTTATCAGTATTTCTAGTTTTTGCAAGAAAAACGTCAAAGAATATTAGGCTCACACAACCCAATCGATCCAAGCAAGTTGGATAGTAGATTTGCTGAAACAAGTGTTGTTGAATCGATTTTTCTTGTATACTACGCCATCTTCAGTTGGGGCCAATTTTGGAACTGTTATTGGGTGTGAACTTCCACCTTGGGAGTTGTGTTTGTGGTCTTCATATCAGGTATAATCTTTTTTCAATTTGGTTTCAAATCTGGTCCAGTTCAGTGCAAGATCGATTCAGAAAAATGCAATTTTTCAGAACACCTAGAAATTGGTTCCTAGAAGGGTTAGAAAATTTTTGAAATTTCGCCCAACCATCCAACATGGTTCGACCATCCATGAGATGGATTCTAATCCCTCCAACACAAAGTTGGTGAGAATGTTTACTGGAAGTCATGTTGGGTTATATTAATGGGAGGATTCTTGAACCAGAAGAAGATTCCCTGGAGTTCGGAAAATAAGAATCAGAAAATCTGGTTGTAATGTTTTGGTTAGTGAACTCAATGTTACCAAACATTAGCAGAGGGTTCTTGGTCTTAAAAGCTTCTGTGGAAATATGGGATGCATCTACAAAGACATTCTCAAATGGAAGAACAGTACCGGAATCTATCAAATAAGGCTAGAGATATCAAGCTTATGATAGGGGGATAAATCATTGGCTGATTATTACTCATCGCTTCAGGCTTTGTGGAAAGGATTGCATTATTACCAAATGTTTAAACCTACATGTAAGGAAGATGAGCAGAAATTCGAAGATCAAGTTGAACAAAATAGAATATTTTTAATGCAAAGTGAAGCCAAGTATATTCTCTAGTGCAAAGATTAGGATGTCAAATCAATTACGCAAGAGCCATCACAGGGGATGTCAAAGATTCTTCGTCGAGATAGCTTACTTTTATTGAGCCAAGTATATTCTCTAGTGCAAAGTGAAGAAAGCAGAAAATCAATTATGCAAGAGCCATCACAGGGGAATAGGTCCGCCTTAAAGAGTATAGAAAAGATTAGGATGTCAAAAACACATGGAATGGAAAGGATATAAAATAAAACCAGTTTATTCACTGGAATAAAGGAGAAGTTCCAATTGGTGGCAAATGAGAGTAAAGGTTCTAGAAGAACTAGGGGAAGATAGAAATGCATCGGTTGAGGTAGTGAGGAAAAATATGAAGTAATTCACCACATGAACGGGATAATTTTGTTTAGTTGAGGGGCCATTTGATAACAACTCAAATTGCTGAACTAAAAGACTTAATGCTTTGTCTTTTAGTGGATAAAATAATTAATGGAATTGTAATCTACTGAAGCCACTAAGGAGCCCACAACCTCCTTAAAACTTATTCAGTAAAAGACAAAGCAATAGCTATTCAGTTCAGTCACTTCAGTTGTTATCAAAGAGACCCTGAGTTTCATTGTGCTTAGTAATTTACCTACAAGAATATCTTCATACTAAATGATTAACATAGTAAAATAGTAACATTCCAAGCATGCAAGTTTGCCCAAAAAGATATGAATTACCACCTTCATTGTTTCCTACCCTCATCAGTTGCTCCACATAAATAAAAGTGATAATATTTGAATTTCAACTGATTTACTTACAGTTTCTCGTAGGTTAACATCTCGTAAATAAGCCCGTTGAAGATTTGCACCTTGCAGATTAGCACCACCCAATTTTGCACCCTGTAAATTGATGATAAAAAACAAATTGATTCATTGATCTAACTAGATAAAAAACTATATAAATGAATCTCACATTGTTAATAAAAAAAGGTATAGATAAAAGGTGAATATGTAGTGTCTTTCGATAATTGACTCTTGGAAAATAATTCTAGAATGAGAAAAATGTATAGTTTTATCTTCAATCAAGTATAAAGTCAAAAGTCTTCTCTTGTGATATAATATGAAAGAGTCACAAGTCTTCTCTTCAATCAAGTATAAAGTCACACAAAACTCAAGGAACATGAAGTGAGAATCACAGTCGAAGATCACAAGCAAAACTTCATCAAAGTATCAATAATCAACGATATCAACAAGAATGAATGTTCCCATATTCATAGATTAAGTATGTGATATGTGACACATAATCCCTAAGAAGTCAAACAACTCCCAAAACTAATACATACCAAAATAAATGACAAAAAGAAACAAGAATACCAATTCAGAAAACACAAAAAGATTAGAAAAAATTCAGATTCATTGGTTTTCTAAATAGGTTGTTACCTACTAAATTTATGTGTCAATTATAACTGTTAAAGTCTAGTTAGTGGGGGTATTTTGGTCCTTTTCTCTCCTGTTATATGTTTGGTTTGTCTTTTGTTATTTATAAGGGCAGAATTGTAATTTTATAATTATTAGAGGTTAATGAAACACAGGGTCGATAGTGAGAGGAGGGGCTCTCCCGAGTTCTCTCACTGAGAAAACCCTTCTTTTCTTCATCCTTTCTTCTTCACCTTTTCTGCTTCCTTTCTCTTCTGAACACACACCTTTCCTGACTTCTTTTTCTTCTTTCCTCATTCTTAGTAACACTTATAAGGAAGATTTCATGGTATCAGAGCCAGGTAGATCTACCTGGTCATATTGTAACATATGTTTTTGTTCTCATTGAGTATAGAAAATCTTCTATTCAACAAGGAGAGAGGAGGCCTCTATGCATCCAACCATGACACCTGGTGAGTTTTCTATGGTTTTCTAGAGGTCCTGTATTTGGCAGTTTGAAAAGGAGCAGTGGTTAGTGCTTCGTTTGGTGCAGCAGTTGAAGACTGGTTTGTGGTGATTGAATGGACTGTGGTGGTGTGGAAGGTCAGTTTTGAGTAATGTAAAGTCCAGAAATGGTTCAGGTTAGAGTGTGGTAGCTTGTCGGTGTTCTTCCTTGTGTTCGAAGATAGTACAGTAAGTGTCCAGAAGCATCACCCTTGAGTTTTTCCCTTTTCTGTCAAGCTATTTTCCTTGTTGTGACCTATGGCATCTTTAGCCTATGGCTCTAAGTCTGACTTGGTGGTCCAATCAGACATTATTAAAACACAATTAACTACGGTAAAGCTTAATGCTACAAAACTATATACCGTAGGCTAAACCGGTTGAGGAATCCTTGATTAGAAGAGGAAAACTAAAATATATTAAGGAAGGGCAGCCGAAGAGTGGACCCGAAGGGTACAATGAGTGGGTAAAAGAGAACGCACAGATCATGACTTCATTGTGAAACAGTATGGAGAACCATATCAGTGTCGATCTTATGTTTCTGGACACTGCTAAGGAGATAAGGGATCATGCTAAGCAACTGTATTCAGGTCAAGATAATGTGATGAGGATATATCAATTGTATAGGGAATATTCCACTATCCAACAGGGTGATAAGAGTATGGAGGAATATTACGCTGCATTGAAGAATCTGAGAAATGAGTTAAACGTTTATTAACCCCTAACTGTAGACCAGAAGGTTCAACGAGAATGACGGGAACATCTGGATGTTGCAAGGTTCTTATCCAACTTCAGTGAATTTGAACCAGTGAGGGCTCAGAATTTAGGCAATAGTGACCTCCCATCTCACTTTGAAGTGTTTTCTCGCATCTAGAGAGCCTCAAACCCACATAATGACCATGTTCCCATGCCAGAGAGGTCTGACTTGGCAACCATAGAGGAGATAGTGGAGGTAGGAATATGTCTGGTAGAGGAGTTCTGAGAGTGTTCTTAATATGAGTCATGGGCTTAGAGGTGGCCGAAGTGGTGGAAGGGAGTCAACTAGTATGAAGGGTGATGGTAGAAGTGGTTGGGGCCTATTATGAGAGTGTTCTCATTGTGGTCGTGAGGGACATTCTAATAACTTGGACTAATCATGCCATTGTGGGAGACGATAGTGGTAACAAAATCACCTGTGAAGAGTATGAAAGACTCCGCCTGTCTTATTCCGACACTACTGCCACCCTTGCACAATCAGGTATAGTCCGTCTTGTCTCCAATTCTAAATGTAATTCTTGGATAATTGACTTTGAAACTTCAGATCATATGGTTGGATCTTCAGATATGTTTATGTCCTTGTCTTCTCCCTCCATATCCCAAACAGTAACCGTAGTTGATGAAACTTCTTCCCCTATCACTGGTACAAGTAATGTATCTTAGTTCTGACATCAATTTGAATTTTGTTTTCTATGTGCCAAAATTTCCTGTCTTTTGTCTGCAAATAATCTTATTCAGTCACTCCATTTATCCCTATTATTGTGTTTTTCAAGATCTCTAGACGGGGAAGACGACTGGTGGCAGTCATGAAGTTGGAGGATTGTACTTTTTGGATGTCAATGGTCCAATGAAGGATGTCCAGTCATCACTTACTCCTCATCAGTGGCATTGTCGCTTAGGCCATCCCGCGCATCATATTTTGAAGAAATTAGTTCCTACTTTAGAGTCAATATCTCAGTTGGAGTGTGAGTCATGTCAATTGAATAAACATCATAGTGTTTTTTTTTTGTTCCTAGGGAAGATAAAATAGTTTTGAGTCCTTTTGCACTTGTTCACTCAGATGTTTGGGGTCCTAGTTGAATGTCATCTTATAATGGATTTAGATATTTTGTAACCTTCATTGATGATTATTCAAGAATAATATGGATTTATTTAATTAAAAACCATTCTGAACTATTTTCTATATTTCATTCCTTTCATGCCAAAATACGAAATCAATTTGGTGTGTGTATCAAAGTGTTCTGTTCAGATACTAGGCAGGCGCCTAGGCAATGAATTTTATTTAAAATAAAACAATATATCCTAGGGTAGTTCCCTAGGTTCCATAACCATCTTTCCTTAATAATTATCCATAATTTTCATAAGAGAAGTATAAATTTCATGTTTTAAGTTTAGAAAATCAACATTTTATGAGAAGAAAAGGAACAAAGGAAAGAAAATTAAAAAAATATAGGGGGTTGAACCCTTACTTTTGGTATAGGAAAAGAAGAAAAGAAAAGGTGGAAGAAGAAGAGGATATGTAAGAAGAAAATGTGTTGATTAGACAAAATTTTAAGTTCTTCCCTTGCTTATTGGTTCAGGTTATGAAATCTTTGAGGATTCAATCAAGGATCAAATCGATACGATATGTCCCGTATCGGGTGTATTGTATTGTATCTTTGGCACCTCAATACACATGTTTACAGGTGTTTTTGGAACCTATTTTTTTAAATAATATATATATATATATATATATATATATATATATAAATGAAATTGAAAGCCAAAGAAATAAAAAATAGGGGGAGTATTGTTATAAGTACTGATACACCTCTGCCGATACACAGAGGTGTATCGATACTTTGAACCATGAGTTCAATACAACAATTAGCAATGTTTGTGTTGATTAAACCCTAACAAATAAGAAAATAATAAAAAGAAATTAGTACATAAACACATAAAATGATTATTCTAGTTTAATAATGCCTATTTTATAATTATAATGTCAAAAAATTAAAAATATAAAAGTATTTTATAACATATTGCACAAAATTACTTGGCAATTGGGTGAGGCGAGCCTCCAAGGGCGCCTTGTCACCTTGACAACTACGATTGCCATGTAATCGAAACAACTCGTGCTTTGTTGATTCAAACGTATGTGCCTAAGACATACTGGAGTGATGTCGTTCTCACATCGCGACCACAAGTTGTGTCCTAACCATGATAAACTTGACTTTTATGCCATCATATGTGTTCTTGGTTATTCCCGTAGACAAAGGGTGATCCAGTTCTCCATAAGGCCTTTGTTGTTCCTAATGTTACATTCTTTGAGAGTTTACCTTACTTTTCTAGACAGGAACTCTCTCCCTCTATTCCTCTTCCTTCTGCTTTAGGTGATGTGTTTATCACTCTTCCTACTTCATAGGAGCCTTTACAACCATCAATTCACAACATGTATAGATGGGAATAGGAGCCAATATATCCACCAACTTCGGCTCCACCTATGGCTTCTAACACCCCTCCAACAGCTTTATCATCGATAGATCCTCCATAATTAGATCTTGATCTTCTTATTGCCCTCCACAAGGATAATCGTGCTTGTACTGATCATCCTATTCCTAATAATGTTTCCTTTTCTCACTTATCTCCTTCCCATTAGAAGTTTGCTTCTCTCCTTTCTTCTATTTCAATTTCTTGTTCAGTCTAGGATGCCCTTACTTCTTCTGACTAGAAGGCAATGGATAAAGAATTTCATGATCTCCAATCTAACCATAATTGGGATCTCACGTGCTTGCCTCCAATGAAGCAAGTAGTTGGTTGTCGATGGGTATACATAGTTAAGCATCGACAAAATGGTAGCATTGAACGATTTAAAGCACAACTGGTGGAAAAAGGTTACACACAGACCTATGGTGTTAACTACTCAAAAAATCTCTCTAGTTGCTAAGATGGGCTCTGTACAAGTAATTATATCCTTAGTTGCTCACTTTGACTGAGCCTTGTTTCAGTTTCATGTGAAGAATGCCTTCCTTCGTGGTGATATTCAGGAAAAGGTGTATATGGAGCAACCTTCTGGGTATGTTGCTCAAGGGGAAACAGAGAAGGTATGCAGACTAAGGAAGGCTATTTATGGGCTAAATCAATCACCACAAGCATGGTTTGGTCGCTTTAGCAGTGTGGAGCAAGATTTTGGTTTGAAACAATGTAGTGTTGATCATTCTATGTTTAGTAGAGATTCTTCATCTAAG